CTTGATAGTATCGAACGTGCTTGCGCACAGAGCAGGGGGGGCAACACCAGCGACAAAAGAAAAAATATATATAAAAAAGACGACGCAGAAATGTACATGTCAATCTTTCATTGCTCGCGTGACGTATTATCTACCACCCTTGTTCGAAAACACAACTGGCATCGGAGAGAAGTCTATCCGCCCTGAAACCAAAGCCAAAGTGGGCGCGTTAAACTCAGATAAGATATACCCGTCCGGACTTCAAGTCAAGTGGGTGCGTGAAGTAAAGATATTGAAGGGCCCTGAACGCTATAAAAGCGAAGGCGAAGAACGAGTGTGCATCTGTTTATTGCGTCTCTACCTTGGAGTGATCGGTGGCTATCTTGCAGCCGGGACGACGGGAAAAAAGGAACCGACAGAGGTGCAAGAACAACACTCGCGCGGAGGTGGGTCCTGGAAAAAATATACGCAGGACCATCCCCGGTGCACAACCTCTGCCGATTGCATTGCGCGAAGCGATACCGAGATTTACTTCGCCGAGAGAAAAATCCTTGGGAAAAAGGTCGAACAAAGTGAGTGCTGGTTGCCCACCTAGGAACCTAGGAACGTATCGCACTGCTCCTGTCTGCAAACAAAAACACAAAAACTTGCCCTTGCGACTACCGACGATGCCGTGTGGCTGCAGTACAGAACAGAACGGGCACGGAGATAGGAAACGAAATCATCGGGTTGAAAGGCTCAGTCAGTTTTCTTGTTTCATCGCCACTGCTAACGACCACAGGTCCCCTATTATAGTGTAGAGGGTAGCCTGGGATCCACCGCGGAGCTGCCTTTCTCATTACATGTATTATAGTAACCCTATTTTCATATTTTTGGTGAATCTTTTGAGCCTCTGTTTCTCAACGAAATGTTTTGCTTTGCGCGGGCCCGTATTTTGTATGATCTTGCTGTTGAAGTAGCCCCTAAGAGCGCCCACAAGCGCAAAGTTTATCCGCTTCCGGGGTGTTTCTTGTTTATCCGTTCTTGTGCGTACTACGACGTATTCTACATGTTATTTTCTATTTTGGAACAGGCCTATCAAAAAGATAGTCTCGACCATGTATGATAGCCCCAGCAAACATCACTTGAACAAAGGAGTGCCATGGTTTCTGCTCACACGCTTACCGACATGAAGATACTTGCACAGGTTCATGCGTGACTTCAACGTGATTTACTTAGAGCCATATGGAACCGCGAGTACAGCAGTGATAATTTCCTGTTGGGGGGGTGGGTCTGTGGCAAAGAGGTTTCGTGTGTAAAAAGAAGTACTCCTCGTAGCATG